CGGAGACGTCTGGAGACGGCAACCCGCCAATGCTGCAGTGCCGTCCGTCCGTTTTTTTTACTACGGGCGGACGGCAAGTGGTTAAAGAGGAACATGAACGTGGGTGTGATGACAGGACGAAAGGAATTGAACGATAATTGTAAGGTGTGTGTGGCCAGCCTAAGCCCCTGTTCACACCAGGGCGGTTCGGCCGCACGGATCCGCCAACATGAACGATCCAATACATTGCTATGGGGACCGGTCATGTGTCCACGCAATCCGAACTGCTCCCTGCACATTTTTTGTCGTGCTGATGAGTGCAGTTTCCATACAGCTTTTAATGGAACCGCACTGATTTGCACGGTTTTGGGTGTTTTTAATTGCGTTTCAGCTCTGAAAAGCAATTAAAAAAAACTCCCAAAACCTCCCTTGAGATGGTAAACGTGCTGATCCGTAACCACCCCGGTGTGAATGGGCTCTCAGGGTTGCTGAATTGCAGCAGCGAAAAATTAGATGTTCTGCCCTGCCAGACAGGGTGTTGCTGTGTACATCTTAGGACTGGATGGGCAGAAATGCAAATCCTTTGGCAGGTGGAAAGCTCCTGAATATTAGTGGTTTGCCTGGAGTTGTTTGTTGGTTGTTGTTGTTATTATTATTATACAGAATTATTATTATTCAGGATTTGTATAGTGCTAACCGTTTGCACAATTCTTTACAAATATGGGATGACCGTGCAGTTACAATTAAATTCAATCCAAAAGTTCATCTATAAGTCACCTTCATCAAAGTGTCTGTTGGAAACTGCCCCACACCACCCAGTCTTTCATCCTTCAACAGGGGTGGCTTCGTTGTGGTCGGAGTAAGGCAGTTGCAGTCAGTTTTTATAGCAGACGGCATGTGAAATTAGTCTCCTATACATCTTGAAACTATGACTCACTTGGCTTTCTGTTGTTGCTGTGAAAATGCTGCAGAATAAGTTTCTGTCACACTTTATCGATCTGTCTGCACATCTTTCAGTATAGTTTTCAGATGGTCCAAGGACTGCTTTCACATTGGCCCCGTTCACATTGAGCGATTTATCGCGCGGTAATTCCCGCGATATCGCGGCTATTTAGCGCACGATATCGCTCTCCAATGCTTGGCAATGGGGCAAAGGGTCCTGCTGTCGCGGGTTGTGCGTCGCTACAGCAGGACCCTTTTTGGAGCGGATTTTGCCGCGATTCCAGCTTGCTCAATGCAAGCATTTGCGCGATATCGTGCAAAATGCAAATCGCGCGATTTGCGAATCGTGCAGTGTGAATGGGGCCTTAGACTGATTGTATTTCTAACATGCAAACTTTGTATCGGCTGAGCATGTCTGTTTCTGCATTGCCTAAAAGACTGTATCATCTGCTTTATCTTGGAAAACAATAATTGGCCAGGAAAATCCAAACCAGCCAATCTATCCCTCCCCGCCAAAAGCACCCGGCCATGTTTTGGTGGGTTGCATGGCTGGCATTCCTCTTTGAGAGACCACTGCACTTCTCTTATGGGATCACTCCCTTGTTGGCTGGACCATTTAAGGTGTTGTTGTCATTGATTCATCAGTGAGCTTCTTGCAGTATTATGGACAAGTGAGGGAGCGGAACACATTAGAGGATGTGGTTGGATCATCTTGGTTTGTGTGTGTGTCTCCACCGTGTGTTTTGTATGTGTGTCTCCACTGTCATCACCCTTCTAACATCAGTTTTGGGGTTCAGACCAGGCTTCTGCTGTTAAGTGGCACTACAAACATTCTGCTATTAAAGTGACACTAAACTCAATAGTAAAAGGTACTTGAATACAATTTTATGATTTGACTCCTAACAAAACTGTATCTTATTTGTGTATCGGCTGTAGATCCTCAAATAATCTCTGAATGTGTGTTGACACTGTCCTTCCTTTTGGAGGGTGGCTACCTCTGTTCCCCATGGCTCTGTGTGTGTTGTAAAGTAGTCATCACTCCTGTGATGGACTACAATCTCTCCTGTTTAGTTTTATAATTTGTATTGAGATTGTAGCCCATCACAGGAGCGAGCTTCGAGCAGTGACTACTTTACAAAACACACACAGGGACCATGGGGAGCAAAATGTAGCTTAGTTGTGTATCACTGCAGATCCCCAAATCCCCAAATCATCTCTCTTCTGGAGGGTGGCTACTTTTTGTTCCCCATGTTCCCTGTGTGTTCTGTAAAGTAGCCACCACTCCAAACTCATTCCCGCGATGGACTACAATGTCACATTTAGTTTACTTGTACTGAGATTGTGGTCCATTACGGGAGTGAGCTTGAAGCGGTGGCTACTTTACAACACACACAGGGACCATGGGGAACAATAGTACCACCCTCCAGAAGGAAGGACAGTGTCAGCACCAATTCAGAGATGATTTGAGGATCTACAGCCGAGTGATACACAAATAAGATACATTTTTGTTAATCGAGTACTTGAATGTATTAAGATTTAACTCTTGAGTTTGGTGTTCTGTGATTGCCATCGGTAGAACTGTCCATTTATTATCCTAGAAAACAATCGGATCCATTACCTTGTTTGTGGCAGATTTGTAAGAGATATAAAAGAATTGTCCGCACTAACATTATTCAGTTCTTCATTCACTGCTACAATTTGGCCTCATTCACACTGCCGCGCGTATTGTACCATATGCAACACATGCCAATGGCTCCATACACATAGCCGCGTATGGAGCCGTATATTTGCGTAGCGTATATATGCGCAAAAACAGAATGGAACAGAGATGCATCCGGGCAGCGTATTGCTGCGTATTTACGCGCACAGCACATTAAAAATTCCATTACGAGTGATGCATTCTGGGATTGCATATGGTGCACGCATATATGCACGTATACGCATATAAATAGGCGCATATATACGCGTATATACGCAATATACAATTTTTTGATCTTGCGTTGTGTGTGAATGAGGCCGATCACATCGTGATTATATTCGGAGGGTTGTACATGTCTGCGGAGTTATATTATAAGGCTTTTTAATATTATCTGTTAGAGCGCAAAAGTAACACAAGTTGTTTTTTGTTTTTTTCATCTCGGGGAAACTAAAGGTGCTTCCCTTGGTAAATAATCAAGTTTAAACTTTTGTATTTTCTGATCTGATCTTTGCAAGGCTCCTGCGAAGATTGTTCCTGCTTTTATTGTATGAATAACCATGGAATATGAAATGAAAAATCCCTGCTTATTAGAATAATTCTACACTGAATGTTGCCAGTTAGGATTCTAATGTAGATGAATTGTGTGCAATATTGTCATTGGGACTGATTTTTATTAAAGGAGCATAGACTTTTTACTTGGGAAAGTCAATGTTGGTGAATTAGGTCAGGTTTTGTTCACTTTGAATACCCAATTGTGTGCAAGCAAAAATCTTTTTTTTCCCCCTTTTACCCCTCCCGTATATAAACGAATAATCAAAGTGAGCACAAGGTCATGTATCTAAAGAAGTGTTAGATGGTATGTACACCGGCAGCTGTGCCATACAACATAACATTCGTCTGCCTTTCCCTGTCTGGGAGCCACAGGTGAAGTGTACAGCCACCCAAAAAACCAATGGGGGAAATTTATGAAAACTGGAGCAGGCAGAATCTGGTGCAGTTGCCCATATTAACCAATCAGCTTCTCTCTTCAGTTTACTCAGTTAAGCTTTGAAAATGAAACGGAGAAACTGATTAGTTGCCATGGGCAACTACTCCAGATTCTGTCTGCTCCAGTTTTGATAAATTCGCCTCAATGGCTGTATGTGGCTGCATGCCAGAACTTGCTTAAACATGCACATGTGTACGGACCTACTACCCAGAACGCAGACAGTCTGCCTGAGCCCTTATACATGGGCTGTGTATACTGCACGTAC